ATATATATATATATATATATATTTAAATGAATTTTATAATTATTCAAATAATACTTAAATACAAAAATATAAGACACTTACGGTAATTTATTTTGGATAAATATCCACTAACCTGATACTGTATCAGGCTGCTCCTCGCCCTAATCAAGTGGACTGCAAGGTTCACGAACGTTGGCATTCCAAGAATGGATCTGGACACGGAGGAAACTCGCGAAACGCATAATCTTTATATTTACAAAATATTTTATAAGTAAGATTTATTTTTAATATTTCGTAAATATTTTTGTGATCTTAGATTGAACAGATCATAAATATTTATTATAAATATTATGAAATATTTATCGTATATATTTTGCAATATGTAAATGGTATCCCAGACAGTGCAGAATATTTATGATAAATATTTATTTTTTGAAATGTCATATAGATATTTTATACATATTTTATATAAAGTTTTACTCGAAATATTATTAAAAGATAGACTAAATATTTAATGTAATATTTATAAATATATTTATAAATAAAGATTTCTAATAAGTATTTGTTATTTGGATTATCTTATTAGATATTTTGACAGCATTTATTACAACATTTACGATAAATATTTCATAAACATTTATTATAATAAATGATTTGTGCAATCTAAGACCACAAAAATATTTTCAAAATATTTAAAATAAGTCTTATAAATATTTACAAATATTTCGTAAATATTTTATAAATATTGTGTGCTATCTGGGGTGAAAATACTTAACAAAATAAGACATTACAATTCAAGTGTAAAAAATATCTATTACAGATATTTATTTATATTAATCATAAATATTATACAAAATACGTAGTCTATATTTCAATAATGTTTTCGAATAAAGCTTATATGAAGTACGTATAAAATATTTATATAATATTAAAAATAAATAAATAATAAATATTTATGAATATTTATTATAAATATTCTGTGCTATCTGAGTAAGACTTGAATAAAATAACTAGAAATTCTATGTCAGATTCACCAAAATGTCATTCTTGTTAAGTCCTTTTGTTAGTTTAATCAAGATATTTTTCTCCGTATGCTATGAAAGATGCCTAAAGAAATGTTTGAAGAGATCAAGCCCATTTTATATTTGACGAAAACATTCAATTAGCATTAAATAATTTTCTCAATTGTAATGTCAATAACTATAATAACGACAATTTCAGGACGACATAGAAGAAAAATGCGACGAGCTAGCGGAGGCAAACCAGGAGCAATACTAGAGAATTCGAGCCGGAACCTGAAGCTGACTTCGTCGCACCGTTGTGACAGCAAAATTATTGTTTAAGCTATTATTGTTAAGAATTGTTGATGAGAGATATATACTTTCAATTAGTTCTTAAAAATTTAAATCACATGACATCTTGCTGCCGCAACGTACTGCGCTTGAAAAGTCCAGAAAAGTCAGCATAAAAAGGACAACATTAGCGCGAGCGATGCGGGACGGGACGCGAGGGGAGGCGAGGCGAGCACAATAGCGGATGGTGTGGTACGGCGAGCGGGATTCGGGAATAGTCGGGGAGGACGCGAAGGACGCAGATGACGCGCAGGGAAGGGTAGGGCAGAGGAATGGCGAGAGACTGGATGAGAGACGGCGGCTGAGTAAAAATGGCGGGAAAAATCCTCGCCAATGCGCGCGCGCATGGACGCGCCAACGCGCAGGTCCCGCGCGCATCGACGAGTCGATACCGCGCGGACGAGAGAGACATCGTCGTCGATGCTGATGCGGCACCCGAGGCCTGCCAACCGACAATTAACCGACATCAAACAATTCGACGCCTCAATAATACTGGCGTAGTCATCATCGTCCGAGACGATGGAATTCGCGATCACAAGCCGATCACGGTCCGATCCGACAGGGAGAAATTCGAATTTTCGCGTAATCGAACGCCCTCGCTCGTCGATCTTCTTCGATACTTGGAATCACATGATGCAATTAATTCGAATTTAAGCGTCAACTGAATGCGATACGTGATTCACGAGTAAACGTAGAAAATTTCCGCTCGGAAGCAAACAGAGGAATCTATGGGAAATTATTACGAAAGCAATTTCTATTACGAGCATCATTCGGATGATTTGAATTCGAATAATACAAAAGCGTATTTCAATTATGAATATATAAATGAAAACTTGCTCGGGCTGTGGATAGAAGGAATGCGTCATCCATCGCTCGAAGGGAGAGGCAGATTCGTTCGTATAATATGTCCGTACAATCGCGAAGCTAAAAATAAACACAGCGGGGTATTTTATCGACAAACGCGCAGATTCCGAAATGTTTGAATAGCGTCACACAGGGGTGGATATTTACATCATTATTTGCCATTTCATAATCACTCCATCGAAAATCCGTGAAACGTTCGCTTCGCCGTCCGACAATCATGTAAAGATTTAGACAAAATATGAAAATTCTTCCTCCGAGAAAGGATATTGCCGGTGTGCTGTATTATAGAGGATTCGACATGAAAATGGCCGACTCGTTCGTGCTTCTTATAATATAATTTTTGCCTTGTAGCGCACGATTTTTCTATACGTGACTTTTTGTAATGAAATCACTGCCTTTTTTCGTCAATAAAGAGAAGTAATACTATTCGAGTTTTTTTTGTAATGTCATGTAATACACATCTCTCTCTCTCTCTCTCTCTCTCTCTCACTACCTTTTTCTCATAAATATATTATCTTTCCCTTTCCTGTGTTGTTAGGGTCACATCCGTTTAACTTCAATTTAAAGTTAATTATTACAGAATATTTTATAACAGATGTTTATTTCATATTTTTTGATTTATTAACGTAATTCTTCCGAAACATATGTAAATTAAGATATATCTTTAATTAACAAAATATAACTGTAAATTAACACGCACACATATATATATATATATATATTGTTATACAATGATCTTATATTATATTACTAACATATATTTCAGCGATAATGTTTCGCAAATATATCGTACTGCGAGGATGCATGATCGAAATACTGTTGTTGAGAAAATACAATATTGTTATACGATATTATATTGACTGTAACTGTGAAGAACACGGGGGTTTGTTTACGCTATAATTCCATCTGATGCACAACTGTGAATTTATAATCAATAATTTATACATGCATTAATGTATACATTATTTCGTGCTCTGCTTTTATTATTCCTTCTACATATGCATAAAAATCAAAAACATATCCCAAGCAAAACAAATCATATTGGAATAACGTTACAATGAATCATAACTGAAAAATAAATTTTAATAATGACATTTTGATGTCACGATGACTTGTTCCGCTTGGTATTGTAAAAGAAATTGTTTTGTATATCGTAAAAAATGAAAGAAAAACACGATGACTGATATATGGAAGGAAAATGAAATCAATTCTAACGTATTTCGTATACCATATGTTTAGCAACGTAGCAAACATAGCAAATATAATACTGACCGCTACAACATATCTCATTGCAATATATTTAAGATAATTATAGAATCGTCGTCGGTTAAGCATGATTAAAACATTTGATCTCTAGATAGCGTGACACGCGCGAGTGCGTTACAACAAACGTATTGTTTTTATGCCTCTGTTTACTTCATTTTTATTCATATGACCCATCGCCGACGAAACGACGACGCGAAGCGATGCGACGCGACGTATGTATAACATATACATAGGTATACATACACGGGACAGACGAGGAGAAGAACAAGAATCGTTGGCGTATACGCGTGGTGCGCGTAATGCGCACGGCACGGGCCGAGAGCCGAGAGCTGAGAGCCGTTTATCGCCTCGACCGATAATTCGGCGAGTTGGCCGCCAGGTGACGCCCCGCACCTCCGCAGCTTTGCCTCTATTGGCTGGCGGCCAATCACGTGGCACGATCGCGGGACGCGCCCGCAGCGCCAAGCGCATTTGGCGGGCTCGTCGCGTTTAGACGGCGTCGTTCGTGGCTGCTCGTAAGTCTTTCGTGCTGTGTGAAGTGTCGAATATCTACGTCGCGCAATGGTGAGTATCCGCGAGTTTTTGACGCGCACGACGGCCATCCATGCCTACCGTCGGCGTCCCCGCACGCCGCGAACCCTCCTCCGTCGACTGGCGGAGTTTCGCGGCTGGATCTTGCGAATTAACCTGTGATTTTCGTGTCTGAACAGGCTGGCGGTAAGGCGGGCAAGGACTCTGGCAAGGCAAAGGCGAAGGCGGTCTCGCGTTCGGCTAGGGCCGGTCTGCAGGTGAGTCGTGTGAGACGGTCCGACGCGGCTAACATACGTCGGCGGGGGATCGATTTCCCCGATGGCATCTCGTTCCGGACCTCCTCGCATTCTCCATCTCGTACGTTCTCGCGGCTTTGCAGGTTAAATCATCATGGTTGTGGCGCGAAAAGTCCGGCTGGCTCTCGACAGTCTCGACACCGCGGCCGGCGAAGCGGTTTTCCACGGCACATCGCGTACCCGGACACGTCGTTACGGACGCGTTACGATGCCGCGTACCTCGCTCTATCCGCGCTATGCCAAACCTTCGAGAAATGTCCTCGTGGAACGGTTTATTTTTCGAATTTTATCGCGTGTCGTACGCTGATAATTTTCAAACGTGACCGACCGGCTTGCCTCGCGTTCCGGGTCGTCCCTTTCTCTCTCTCTTTCTCTCACTGCCCGGGATCGTTTCGGCGGGATTATTTAGCCCCGCGGCGAGCCCGGCGACCCACTGTAAATCGAGAATCAATTTTTGCCGCGAATCACAGCGGTCGTGCAAACTCCTCCCGACTTTGTGCGGACTGGTGCGGACGAGCCTTCGAACGTTCCAACTGACACAAGCCGAAAGCGTTGTTTCCGTTCGCCGTTTGTTGTTTTCCTGTCGTCCCTGAGCGATCGTCTCGTGACCGACGCGACAATTGTCATCGATACTCGCGCGGCCGAGCTTGTTTTTATCGTATTTACGTTCGTCGCGACCGCGCGGTTGTCCATCGATCGTGCGTGCCGTCGCGTTTATTCGCCGACTTAAACTCACCGTCGCGTCGACGAGACACGGAATCGTAGATTCCGCATCGAACAGCCGATCGAGGAGGCGCGTGAATTGCAAATTTGAATCGCCGATATTCATTTATGTTTAAGATGGTCTTATTATTGGCTGTCTATAATGGCAGGAATATTGTATAGTGAGCATTAAACTTTAAGAAATTGATCAATCATAGTCGATTCTAATTTTTTATTGTGATTATCCGATTTCTTACTTTTATAATTTACTACCATATTATTTTACTTACATCATATTATTACCAGTAGGCCTGTTATTACCAGTAGGTTTGTTGCTTGAAATTCCCCAAAATTGTTCCATTAAAAGGAGATAAATATATATGAGACGTTGAAGAGAGAGAGAAAACTCGGAGATACAGAGTGCAAAAAGTACAAGCAGCGCGAACAGATCTATTTGAAGACAAACAACTCTTTATGGGCCATCTACAATGGAAGTAATATTGTGCAGTAAACCGTCAGCTGTTAGAAGTTGACCAATCACAGATCATTCTCACGTTTGACTGTGATTGGTCGATTTCTTATGCACATTTCTTGTTCACAACTTACTACACCATAGGTACTTTCCATTTGATGACACAAGTCTCGACACAAGCGTCGTTCTATCCTTCTCGACATTCAGAGTCTGACAAAGATAGAACGACGTTTCTATCGAGATTTGTGTCATCAAATGGAAAGCACCCCCATATGTCTATGTATAGACAACTTTTTAAATACAGTTTTGAGATATACTGCTCTGTGATTGGCTTGTATCTCAAGACTGTACTTAGGACACAGTCTTAAATATAAAAATTGACTATAAATACCAGTCTTCGTCTTCCTCGATCGCGATACGTCGCGTGGATGGTGTTGCTTTTTAATTGCCGGATATCTCGATCGATCGTTTGTCGTTTACACTGGGTTATCGTTTACTACCAACTAATAAAGGGCACGTTTTGAAAATATCATCCCGGTACATTTCATTCATTTCTCCATAATCGTGCGAGGAATGTTACCCATTTGATGCGGAATGCAATTTTCGGTGATGCAATTTGACGATCAGGGTGCGTTCTATTTGACGCTCATAATGCTCGACGAGTATTATCCTTGCTTAACATTTGATAAACAAGGATGAAATATTCAACGAGCGTCGTGAGTGTCAAATGTCAACGCACCCCCGTGATACAACAAAATTTCGTCGAATAAAACCTAAATTACGTCGAATTAAACCTGATATAGGACGGAAATAAACGTAGCAAGTGATGACGTTATTTATTATTATTATTATTTTTTTTTTCGAAATGAATGTCTGTTTATTGAGTTTAAATTCGCATCGTATTTGGTTCGGTTTGTTATTATTGCAAACCATCTGTATTAAGTAACTTGACAATTAAACATTAAAAGTATCTTATTTTCACCATCAGATGAATTAAAATGAAAGCAGCGGTGCCTTTTGAATATATGCAGATCAGATCAAAAATATTTTGTTCAAACAAAAATTATTCTCTTGTTCTCGTTTAATTTAAATACGTTTGAATAAAATTAGAGATTTACAGAAAGTTACGTCCTCTCATCGAAAAAAAAAATTCATGACCGCGATTAAGTCGGTGTTAGTTATCGCTGTTTATTAAAAGTTCTAGTCGATTTTTTGATATATTATCGACATGCCGCGTTTCCACAATCGTAGATTAAAATTCTCAATTGTAATCACGCTTCGTCGTTTAAATGTTAACTAAAAATTAACTGTTTAAAGTCTCACATCGATGAGCAAAATCCTTGTTCGTGTTGAATGCGATCGAATCTTCTTTGTTTACAAGCATCGCGTGTGCTTATATTTAGCTGATTCAGACCAGTTTCGATGTCATTTAATTGTAATCTTGATTTAACTTATCTTTTCCTTTTTTTAATTTTTATACCCGTTTCTACCAATGTAGATTAATTTTAATCTTTAATAAATTTATTATTAATTTATAGATTTATTTATAATTATAATTTTAAACTTAATTTTCACCTTTTTGTAATTTTTGTGCTCATTTCTACGAATAGATATCTGTTCGCGTTGCTTGCATTTTTTGCACTAAGCAAAAAAATGCTGTCTTTCTCTTTAATGCCTAAATATATATTTATCTTATTTTATGTGCAAACATTTTTGGAGATTTTAATCAACGCGAATAGATTTAACATTAAATTAAATTTAATTTTGATTTAACTTATTTTTTTCTAATTTTAATTATTAGGAAAAGAGTAATTTAAATAGAGATTAAAATTAGTCTTACATTAACGATGAACTGGGCTTTAATATTAATATTAATGCAAACGAGGAACTCCGAAATGGGCTCCTAGGTTACAAGTTAATATACCTGTCCGATAATTCCGTCGCCAATAATATTTGGCAAATAAAATTACTTCGATATACCACGCACTCCTAAAAAGAAAGATTAGAGCCACTTCTCCGCGAGACGATACTCGGAAACGAAACTTCGCCAGCAGGAATTAATTATACTTTCGTCATACTTTGAAGTACGTACAAGATCGTGCAAAAATTAAGCATATTCAACAAGTCTCGATAGCCCAGATATTCCCAGTTATTTACGATTCTTATCGAACGGGGCGCTCTTTGTGAAAACTCTCGACGCGTCTCGGGAAAGATAAAAAAAAGTTATAGCCGATTCTGTGGGCTATTGAATGATCTTAGCCGAATTAAACGCTTAATACGATTATAATAACAAAAATGTGTGTCGCTCGTGCAGCAGCGATCCGATAAAGCTTTGAGGTCGCGGTTTGTAATAGATGAGCGTGAGATACAGCTTGTGTAACTTCGACTTGGGGTATGGTTCGAATTTTTTTCTGACAAACTTTATGTACACCATACACAAATTCTCATTGTTATGAGTTAGAATTTCTGTGGAAACGCAACATTTCGACATGTCGATTGTGAGCCCGGTATCAGCGGTGACAAAATTATTGTGCAACAATATCGACCGCGCTTGAGACAGGAGAGGGAAGAGAGAGAGAGAGAGAGAGAGAGAGTATAAGGGGGTGGGGGGAGAGTGAAGACTAGCCACTTATACGGCACAGGAGAATCTTCGAACGAGAGAATGAGAGAATTTTAGAGAGCATCGGGGACGAGATAGATAGCTCTAGCTAGAACGAGGTTCTCAAACGCTTCTCGAGGCGTCGAATGACGAAACTTTGTGCCAAAAGCCGGGGAGCGAGAGAGAGATAGAGAAAGGAGCGGTAGGGTGAAAAGGATAGAGACGGAGAGAGAGGAAGAGCGAGCCAAATCGTACCGCTCGATATTCGTAGCGTGAGAACGGGACGAGGTCTGATATTCGCGCGGATTCCGTGAACAGAGTCGAGAGATGAGCGGGAATTTTCCTTTCTCCCTCTCTTTTTCTCTCTTGGCGGAGAACGACGCGGAATGTTGAAATGACAAGGCGGAATGTGCCTGGCACGTTCCGCGACGAGCAGACAGACGACTTCCCAGAGCGACGATCCTCGCGGAAGAGGACGAATGGAACGACCGAGGTTCATCCCGGCCGCGTTGTGTTATGGAACGCTACGCGGAAATCCGTGCTATCGCTTATCGCTCAATATTCCGCCTCGACCGAGAGCCGAGAGAGAGGCTACCGACGCTGTGACCGACAACGACCGAATATCATATGAATGGATAGTAGACGCGCGAGTTGATCCATCCGGAAAACATTCGGCCGGTACTGACGCAAAAGTTCCGGCAGAAGTCACTAGACGCGTCCTCAGTGGCGAATTAAGACACAGGGTGCCCCATACCCTGGCGCAAGGAAGAGTCTCGCAATTATTGACTCAAGTCGATATCATTGATATGTCAACATTTGGTGATTAAATTGTGGTGTGTCAGGTGACTGAATTATTGATTTCTATTCTTGTATCGGTGCATGTCGCAAAACGCTACATAAAATGATAATTGTTGATTGTTAAACACGTGTCTATTTTTCCCAACGTAGAGTAACTTTAATCTTAATTTAATTTATTTTTATTTTTTTTTTCAATTTTAAAAATTGGAAAAAGATGAAGAGAGTAAGTTGAACAGGCATTAATCTTCAAGTAATAATAAGAATTTTTAACAAATAATTCTGGATTTTAGGGTATATTTCTGCTATATTTCTGAGGATTTAAAAGTGATTTAAATATTTTTAATATTTCGAGTTATTAATTAATTTTTTTTATTATGTTTTTATAATTTTCTTTTATTAAATTTCTTTTGTACAGACCTAAATAAATGCTTTCTGCATTTATAGGGAAACCGTCTTTTTTAAATGCAGTGAATCCATCGAGAACATTGTTGACGCTACGTTCAGATCAAATGTAGTTTTATTCAAATAGTTTTAATCCGTCACTAATTATTCGTTTGCTAATTATATATAAAATAATTATTCAATCTCGATCGTAGTTTTAATTACGATTTATATCGCAATAAATTGTTCGTATTTTGCGTTTTGATGCAAATCTTCCGAGTAGAAAATTTGAAGGTTTAGGTGAAATACGAAATTGTTGAGATTTATATAAGTTTTTTTGTGTTATTTCCATCTTCTAGTTTACAAATATTTGAAATTTCTCTTATCTAGAATGTTTTACTTAATAATGAGACCATTATTGAATCTTTACGGATGTTTTTATTACATTTAGTGTTTGTCAGTGACAAACGATATATTTATTACTTTATTTGCTTTACTTATTCCACTATTATTCTATTTGTTTTATATTTTGCGGAAAAACGGTTTCATATTTACATGTTTTTTTTTTCATGTCTTGTCTATCGAGTTATTTTTTTCAAATATTCCTATAAGATTTGCGCAATATTGTTTAATAAACATTTCGACATAAATAAGTTTAAAGGTTCAACAGGTATAAACTTAAAAATATAAATTGAAAATATAAAATTCAGTCAATTTTTAAATTATTTCTTCGGAATATTTTCGTACTCGGGATATTGTTTCCAGTCGTAACGTAAACAACAAAATAAAATTTGCGCCTTAATAACATCCAATTTAAATATAATGCAAAAGTTCGGTCTTATTACAGAGTCGAGTATACTTTATGTACATATATTATTGACAGCATCTGAAAAATAGGATGCCGGTAATGATGTTTACGAAGTTTACCGTATAACTACGTGGTAGTCGAACATAGTCGTTCCCTTTTCGCTCTGAAAAGCCTCCTAAAGTCCAACTTCGAGACCGAGCTTTTTATATCACTACACACGTATTACATACATTTCTGCGCGTAACAGTGACGTCAAGTCTCAACGCGTAAGAAACATATACCGGGTGTCGAGGTGACGAGGGGCTGCAGGTACTGTTATCGCTTTCGTCAAATCGCCCGGGGTGAGAAAAGCGCGGGCTAATACCACCGTCTCTCATTGCAGTTCCCCGTAGGCAGAATTCACAGGCATTTGAAAAACAGAACCACGAGTCATGGTCGGGTAGGCGCTACTGCGGCGGTCTACAGTGCGGCCATTTTGGAATACCTTACGGCCGAGGTAAGTGAGCATATACATGTGTATATGCGCGCGCGCGCATGGTGTGTGTATGTGTGTGTGTGTGTGAGAGAAAGAGAGAGAGAGAGAGAGAGAGAGAGAGAGAGAGAGAGAGAGAGATTGTAACTGATATTGTAACCAAGACTGAAATCGAGACTCCATTCAATTTCGAGAAATCTCTAAATAAGATCGAGGATTTCGTATGATAAGCTGATAATTTAACCACTGAAAATTTAAACGAAAGGAGATACCGATAAGAATGGTTTAAGCCAACAAAGGGGAAGATAGGAATGTGTAGGAAGCGAACAATAAATAATTATAAATGATAACGACGAAATAGGCGGGATTATTTGTGAGAATATAGGGAAAAATATTTATACAGTACATTGCATCGCGTCAGTACATTGCGTTTGCAAAAATGTTAGAAATATCTTAAAACGTTTTATCTAATCGTTAATTACAGTTTGAATATACTTGGAAACAATGTAATTTGATATAAATTTAGTTAAAATTAGACTTAGGGTGCAGTTACATTATTTCATCATCTAATTATTGAACTATTTATATTTTATGCTATGTAATTAAATAATTAATATCCAATAATGCTTGCGTTGATGTAAATCCAGGAAGGAGACAAAGAAAGAGTGGACATTGTATACAGAAGATAGGGAGACAGAGAATTAAAATACAGACACAGAAAACCGTTACAAACACGACATCACAAGTGTGGTGGCGTCGCAGTCTCTAAAAACATGGCTCTCTTTCCCGCTTTTATTTTTGAGTTGAATTCATTTTAAATTAATTAAATATTTAATATTGAAGGCAATATACGTTTATTGAAATTAAAATTGCTATGTACACGCGAGAGAGTAATTCACTTTGATTGACAATCATTTTTATGGCTTATTATTTTCATTGTTTGTATAGCTATTATCGATATATTTTATTTTCTATAGAATGGTTCATTAAACAGTTACAATTTCTTTTTGCTCTCAGGTGTTGGAGTTGGCGGGAAATGCATCAAAGGATCTGAAAGTTAAACGTATTACACCTAGACATTTGCAACTCGCTATTCGTGGTGATGAAGAATTAGATAGTCTCATTAAGGCAACTATTGCAGGAGGAGGTATGTGTCTTTTCATAATTTTTACGTATATTTTAATTATAGTTATATATATATATATAATATTTATTAAACTTATATATTTAATTATAGTTATTAAATATTAATTTAATTATTCTTAATTATTTATAATTTCGAAAATTATCAACTTTATGGGATAACATTTTGTATGTAGTAATGTTTAAAGTTTCTGTACATATGTAGTTTATTGCTACTTTTTCATTATGACTTTTATACCAGTGAGAAAACGAGAAGGAAATTTATGAATATAATATAATATTTTATTTACTTTAACAAATATAGAAAGGGACTTGTTTTACAAGAAATGCTTTAGCCTCACGCATCCTTCCACGCTCTCCTATTTATGTGTCTAATTACATAACCTTTTCTCTAAAACTACTCAACTCTTTACTCCGAATGTTTTAATTAACTTTTATTCTCATCTAACTTTATATACTCGTCTACCTCCCCCCTAGTATTTTTTACTCACAACCTATATTTTCACAGCCACCTGTTTCATACTACTGACATACTTCCTCTGAGAAAGAAATTTATGCATATTGTTGTTTGATTGCAGGTGTTATTCCACATATCCACAAATCACTTATTGGCAAGAAGGGTTCGCAGAAGCCAGCATAATTTAGCGATAATTGACATTGAATATTTTAAGATTCGTGGACAAACGGGAGGAGGAAAGAGTTGGTCCAGTGCTTGTTAACAAAGTGTACCTAGATTACTAAATTGATGGCGAGACTGGCGTGATATATACATAGATATATATATAGATATATAAATAAAACAGTATATTGAGATATAATTTAATATAGATAAAAAAATAAGAGTTAAAGAAAGACAAATGTTCATTGACAATTGACAAACGGACAAGACAGGGAGAGAGAATGGATTCTAGGCCGAGTGTAGGAAATTTTAGTGTGTTGCGAGCGATGCGTTATAGCATGGCTCGAGATGACGGAAGTCTTTGGTAGTTTGCAACTTTTGAACATTGTGAAAACATCAGAGAACGTATGAAAATCTGTTCAATTACCATGTTTAATTATTTACAACTGTGAGCGATTACTTTACCAAACCGCCATCGTTGAACTTTTGTCTCATTTTCGTTTTTAAATCGCGTCATGTACTTCTAAGAGGCAGGTTTTGTTAATTTGCTTTCAAATAACTCTCTCATTTCACAATCTCGTACAACATACATGAGTCCAGTTCATTATTTCATATGAATTTAATATGAATTTAATGCTTTATTAGTCTTCATATATATATATATATACGTTTGTGTCAGTAAAATTACGCAGATTATGAACAGTTAATCAACAGTTCCTTATTGTTGAATTTATTATGATAAGAAAAGAAGGAAAAATGGTAAACTTAAGTGTAATTTTCAACTTAAAGTAACTTGATCTGGCCAAATTTATATATAAAATATATAATAAAATTTCAATTTGCTAGTTAGATATTAAATCGTCTCGCGCGTTCATCACGGTTCACAAGTTTCTTGCGCTTTCCTCCTGTCAGAATCACGAAGATTATTATAAGGTTTCGATAATAATAGCAACGATTCCAGAGTTTGAAAGTTTAACCATATGACTCGATTGTACATAACGGTTTTAATTACATACAGAAAACTCGTGTAACATATGGATGAAATTGAGTTTGTGAATATTAAGTTCTGTGAGCTGCTAAAATTAAATGAGCTTTTCATTTCAAAAACCAGATTGTGGAATGTTTAGTTCTGTTACAAATTTTTTTTTATCTTGCGAGCTAATAAGCGAAGACTGACTTCGTTTCTTGTAAAATAATCTGAAAAATAGATACAGAAACGATACGATGTATCAGATGATTTATTTGCACATATGAAAACGTGCCTATTTTTTATTTTCGCTCATTTTTTTCTTTCTAATTTTAATGTTCGTCACTTCGTTATTCCTACGATTTAGCTTAATTTTTATTGTACCTACACGGTTTCGCACCATATGTAAAACGTTCATTTTCATACATAATAAAGATAAATTTTATTAAACTTTGCATGCATATCATAAATTTGTACCATATGTAAAACATTTATCAGACAAAGTTAAACTGCATGTGTGTTATGAACTATTGCTTTGTATAAAATCATGAATTAGGAGAAGGTACGTATTTTATTCCTTAAAAAAAGTAAATTTAATTTTACTTTTATAAAAATTTTTAATATAAAATGTTTGTTAGTCGTTATAAATTTTATTAAATTGCATGTAAATAAAATTACTGCGACACTATAAGATCTTGATTTAGGAGCTATGTATTTTATTTTTTTAAGAGAGAACAAATTATAATTTTATTTCCATAAGTTCAATTCTTCCAATGTAAAACGTTTGTTAGTTATAAATTGTATTAAACTGCAAATCATAAATTACTGCAATAATTTATACAAGATTTTAATTTAGAATGTACATATCTTATTCTTTAAGAAAAGAAACTATAATTTTATTTTCATAAGCAACTTGATACTTCTAATTATAAAAAAGAAATATTAGAAGAATATACATAAAGAATGTATATCAAAGAAAAAAAATTACCTTCATGTTTATCGTAGATATTTATACACTTATCTCAAAATAAAAAAAATGGAGATGATGTGGGCAATCCTTGTGTATATACATCGATTTTATAAATAAACTACGATTCCACTCGGTCGCTCTTGATGGCTTCGGGTATTGTCGGATATCGAAAATAGATACGCTTCGGTATATATTCGTATATATGTATTTCGTTGCCGACGTGACGACAGTACGATAGGCGACAGCCCTGACCATGCAAGCATTGCAAGCTTAAGCGCGTCCGTGCGGTGGCGTCGTCTGGCGAGTAACGCATGAAGTTGCCGCGGTTCCCGTCCCCGCCAATTTTACGAGCTGCTCTCGCCGGGCACGCCGTACGATAGCTGTGAAGTTGGTGGGGTGGGAGGGGAAGGAGTGCCCGCGTCTGCGCGCTATTGGCGAGCGCGAGCGAAACGGAGCTCCCCCCACTCCCGCGATGATTACGGCGCTTGGAGCTTGGAGTAGACGAGTAGTTGGAGTGAGTGAAGTCGCAGTCGCCTTTCACGGGTACGGTCGGGTTGGTCGGTCGGTCGTTCGTTCGGTCGGTCGGTCACCCGAGCGGGACTTGGAGTAGCGTACACGTTCGCGATCGCTCTCTCGTCGGAGTCGCTCCGGGAATTAACGTCGTTGCCGGTGCATCCTTGGTAAGGACCGGTTGTGTGACACGCGACAGGCGCGCGCACGCATACGCGCGCAGCACGACGCATACCTTGCTGCCCCGGGCGCGCACTTGGCTCGCGGTGACAGGTCGCGTGGAACAGGAGTCGAAAGTGTGTATCTCCCGTAGGACGCGTATCTCCTTCCGTCTCATCCTATTATCATCGTATTGCGACATCAAAAAAAGAGATCGTGAGAGGTAGACGTGCGTGCGCGCGCGCGCGCGTGTGTCTCATCTCCAATCGTTTAAAAACACGCATCGCCCTGAAGTTGCCGCTGCGTCCGTCCGGTGTATGTACTCCGCTGTCGCGTGAAGTTGCCGGTACGCACATCGTCTGCATGCAAATTGGACGTGCGCGCGCGCGCGCGCGGGCGCGAGTTCGTGATCATTTTTCCTGCCGGCGATCCTCTCGTATTCGCTCGATCAGTGCCAGTCGCGTGCGGAATTCGCATCCGAGAGTTCAAGGAAAGAGCACGCCGTCCCCTTTCCTTTCTCGCTCGCCTCGCTTTACGTCGTCATCAGGTTGTCGCTCTACGTTTGTTCGGCACAAGACAAAAAATCATCCATTCCCAGCTTCCGTTTACATAACGTCATTCAGGTGAATACGTTTGCTATTTCGAAGATGTGTTGTAACAATTTCTGAATAGCATTACGAGATAGAACGAGAATTTTTTGATAATTTTTGTCTGTTTCCTATGCTTGTAAATACTGACGATATTTTGATATCAAAATTGACGAATTCAAGTCGTGGGAAGTTAAAGAATATAATAATTTAAATCGTATTATATATTTGTATATATTATACTGTAATGAATATTCAGTTGATAAGATTTTCGACGTCTTTAAACACCATGAATTGGATTTTATCTGCGATGAGGACATTCGTCAGTAGAAAGTAAATGGCCGCATTCAGCAGAATATTTATTTTGTAACTATTGGAAGTTTTCTGCGCTGAGATAATAGAACTGTTCTTTTAGATCTAAAAGTACAATTCAATGAGTGCGAAGAAAACTTCCAACAGTTGCAAAATAAACATTCTGTTGAATGCGGCCAATGCACTGAAAAGAAAATTTACTAAATCTTACTACACGTTTCTTTAAATAGTACTAAGTAAACATTTACTTATAGTAATAAATATTTACTCAATAAAAAAACGATAATTTAACAAATTAATGATTCTTGTACCAAATAAATTCTAATTTATGCAATACATAAATAAATGTATGGTTTTAAAATTTTGAAAGAAAAATCATTTTTTCTAATTTTTCCGCGGATTTTTTCAGTTTCTTTTCCAAAAATAGAAAAATTGATATGTGTGTGTTCATAAGACTTACCATTACTTATTTTTTTCCGAAAAGAAAATAATTTTAGTTTTCTTTCTGCAATTTGAAAAAAGCTTTTTTAAAACTATAAATATATGTTTACATTTAGTTAATATTTATTTAGAATTATCTAAAAAATATTTATTAAAATTTAGTATTTCTTTCAATGGGAAAAATATAGTTCGAGGTATTATGTTTGATGGGAAAAACAATTATTTTTGATGCACTGACGTTGTCAATCTAATCTTTCAATCTAATAATGTAAATATTGCAAAAATTCAATCGCTGGCTGCACATGTCGACAAAATTTTTCTTGTAAAGCCGTACAAGACGTTATAATTACTTATTACAACTATTAGAAAGAAAATACCTTCTATTGAATACAGCAAAAGTGAAAAGCATGTTACAGAATGTCGATAACTCTTTTTCTTCATCGGATTCATGCAATAAATATTTTATTTACGTGGCGAAATCTGTTTGGTTGCGTATTTAATGATATTCATTTTCATATTTTTCCGAAAGTATTTACGGATGAATAATATTTGATATTCGTTATTAGTTACTTTGATGTCTCACGTAACGAATCAGTTTATCCGTATAGTCGATTAAATTCCAGCTAATTATGCCCACAAACTCGAATGATTAATTATTAATTACTCCAAGCCAGTAAAGATTAACGAACATGTGCGTGCAATTATGGTCGTTTGGACGCGACAAATGGAGGGAACGTAATTGCAAACGCCTACCTTCGCACATGTAACACGTATTGAGTAAATCAAAGTGCGCGAAGTCTTCGTTTAATTGACTCGATCTTTTAAGAACGTAATCGAAAGCAAGTAACTCGATCAAAGTGTAATTTCTTTACTTTCTTAATCGAGGGTCACATCGCCTTCCCCCGCGCGTATCTAGTGTATTACATGATGAATTGAGCTGGTACGGATATCTCTTTGATCTAAATTGAGATATGGCGGAAAAAACAAACGAATTGATTAATATTTTATCCCGAGAAATCGATATCTTTTCTCGAAGAAAAGAAGAAAAAAGAAATACACGTGAAGAGGGGGTTGCACATGCGCACAATACCACAATTGGACACATTTGTTTATTTCAGTCGGTACCTAGAAATTTTCCAATATATACCATCAAATTTTATATTAAACTGCCTAATTGGCGATGTGGACAATTGGGACTCTTCTTACGTGAGAATGGACGCATTTAGCAGATTCAACAGTTGAGTGAACGCTCGCTGCTATTTGTATATTCTTGTCATGGGCGTCGACTATAGTGGTTGACATGGAGAATATTCTATTATATATTCGAAATTTTTCCATGTGTGGAATTCCACACTTGGAAATCCGAAGAATGTATAAATTATTTTTTGACGAAATAATTTATTATTTAATATTTTAATAAAAATGAAAGTAGATTAAACTATATATGAAAAGTTGCGTGTTTACAACTCGATCGGTGGTTGCCTCTTTTACGACCGTCGATCGGTATTTCACTAGTGTCCAGATGTAGCGCTCCGATGAAACGAAAGTGACATTGATCGCTTTATTGCAATATATAAAATTGATTTTGACAGGAGCAAATTAAAATTACATCAAACGATGTTTTATAATATAATGGAAATCAAGAAAATAGAGATTTATAATTTAAAGACGATTTAATTTTTTGAAAAAAGATGTAGCCGTGAGAGAAATTATATCAGAATACACAAAAATGATAAGACTCCTGCTTACAATCCTGCACTGCGGAAAGATCTTTTTCGGCTCTTAAGAGATTAAAAATAACTTATCTACGTTCTACAATGCTTCCGATTTTGTTAAATAATACGGCTGTTTTGCATATTCATTCAGGTGTCATACAAAATCTTAATTTAGAAGTTATAATGGATGAATTTATAAGCAGGAACAAAATCCGTAGTTCCACATTTGCGTGTTCTACATGATTACATATATTATACATATATACGTATAAAATATTTATACCACATATAAAATATATATACTATATATGAAAAAAATATATAACAAATAT